GTCTACTCAATAAAATTTATTGACAAGTTTACTTATGAGATTTCACCGAATTCATTATTATTGTATTGACAAATTTAAAGAGTTAATTGATGCTTTGACCTTGAAAACGGAAACGACAAAATTTATGATCGAACGAGAAATTCGAAGATGGAGAGAACATATTCGATACAAAATCATAAAGATTTAAGGATATGCTAGTCAAAAGAACGAGAAGGGTGTTACACCATTTGAGATATTTTTTTTAATTGATAATGGACAATATAACTACTTGATTTTCAAAAGCAAAAACAAGGTATATAAATTAGAATTTTAATATGAATCAAACTCTAAATTTAAACACGGAACAATTAATACGAATCCACAATAGCTAAACTCAAACCCTAGACCAAAAAAATAAATTAAAACCACTAAATTAAATCAAACCTAAGAAATCTAATCAAGAGATTCATCAATTTCATCGCCTTCATGAGCCCACGTATGTTCTTCACGAACCTTTTCTTCTTCCTCTGGAGTATAATCATTAATAATATCAAATATCTGACGAACAGCTTTCACAGACTTGTTCTTAATTCTATCTGCAATTGTCTGACACAACAAATTGATCAAATTGCTAATGTGAAGATAATTTGCCGCAATTACAAGTTCAAACATGTTTTCATAGCTCTTATCCTTCATAAATTCCTTATCAAATTCCTTAATTTCTTCTTCGTTTGAATCCGTCTTCTCCCCATGCTTTTTCATGTACTCAATAATTACAATTAGGTTTTGAGTATTCACATTAGGCAATGGGATAAGGGTATAATCGTCCTCAACCATATTTTTTATCGTTCCAGACTGAACCGCAACCGATTCTTCAATCTCAAATTCATCACCATCTGATGATTTCAAAATCAACTTTTTTGAAGCCATTGATTTTTTTGGAGAATAAAAATTAATTAAATTGTGAATCAGAAGAATAATAGAATGTGTTAAGAGAAGGCTATGTGAATTAGTGTATTTATAGGGTCGATTTTTTTATTATTTTTTTTGCGTTTTCCACTTTCCTTGTTTTAATTGGTTTATGAAAAAAAAAAAAAAAGGATTCCTTATAGAATTGGTATTATTATTCAACTTTGTGTTTATTACGTAAAAGTTGTTATTATTTGTTTTGTTACATAAAAAATATTTTATTTTTTATAAAAGTAACTCTGACAAAATTGGATTAATATTCAAAAGAGAGGTTAATTAGAAAAAAGATTGCAAGAAAAAAATAACAATAAAATATTTAAGACAAAAATGAGATGATGCAATATATAGTAGAGACATACTGAAGATTTGATATGAAATTACGTTATTACTAAATATATCATTACTAATAAGGAGAAGATGATGGTTTGAGGGCCTTATTTTTGGTAATTATTATTATAAGTTTTGTTTAATGAAAAATAAATTATATTGTGTCATTTTTTTTTGTTCGTTTTGATATATTAAAGTATTTTTTTTTGGTCAATTTTTAAATTTAATTTCCACATGGATATGTTTAGACCACAAAATTACAAAAAAAAAATTGGTATATATACAAAAGCAAAAATTACGTATATAAATTAAAACACTAAGTTTAAAGACAAAATAATTACATAAAAAAAAACAATAGCTAGACTCAACAATAAAACTCAAAACTCTAGACTAAAAATAAATAAATTAAAACCACTAAATTAAATCAATCCTAAAAAATCTAATCAAGAGATTCATCAATTTCTTCTCCTTCATGAGCCCACTTATGTTCTTCACGAACCCTTTCTTCTTCCTCTGGCGTATAATCATTAACGAGACCAAATATCTGACGAACAACATTCACAGACTTGTTCTTGATTTTACCAGCTATTGTCTGGTACAACAAATTCATCAAATCGCTAATGTGAAGGTAATTTGCCGCAACTAGAAGTTCAAACATGTTTTGATAGCTCTTATCCTTCAAAAATTCCTTATCAAATTTCTTAATATCTTCTTCGTTTGAATTTGTCTTCTCCGCATGCTTCTTCATGTACTCAATAATTAGAATTAGTTTTTGAGTATTCACATTAGGCAATGGGATGAGGGTATAATCGTCCTCAATCATATTTTTTATCGTTCCAGATTGAACCGCAATCGATTCTTCAATCTTAAATTCATCACCATCCGATGATTTCAAGATCAACTTTTTTGAAGCCATTGATTTTTTGGAGAATAGAAATTAATTAAATCGTGAAGATGAATAATAGAATGTGTTAAGAAAAAGCTATGTGAATTAGTGTATTTATAGGGGTGATTTTAATTATTTTGGTTTACCACTTTCCTTTTTTTAATTGGTTTATAAAATAAAAAAAGGAATCCTTATAGAATTGGTATTAATTAAACTTAGGCGGTAGAGTAAAATTTTACTGATAGTTATTCAATTTGGTTTAGGAAAAACTACCTAATTGTATTTATCAATATAAATTACCTATTTTGTCACCTCTAATCACGTGTAGTTAAAACTGAATTTATTGGTTCTGCATTTATCTAAAAACATTCGTGACTTAGATAATAAAATTAAAAAGCAGCAGAAGAACAAGAAATAAAATAAAAAGAAGAAGAATAAGATAATTGATATGTCATGTAATTATAATTATATACTTAGAAAATTTCTACAAAAGATAAATTATGGATTGAACTTCATATAATAATGAGATGAATTTTTAATTTTAATTTTTACTACTTGCAAATTTAGATTCTAATAAATTAGTGTCATTCAGTGATAGCAAGAAGCAAATTAAATCTTAGATGATGAATGATTTACAACTCTTATTTTTTTGGCAATAAAACTGTGACTATTACCATACCAAAACAAAGTATTACAATTTAGGAAAGAAAAAACTATAGCATCTAGCTACTTACTATCTACCACAAATCCTATGTATTAAATCTTGACAATTTCTTGCTTTTCTAGATTCCGTAACTCTTTCTAGTCTAACTTGTAACTCCTTTATTTGTGCAATGATGAAATTTGTATTTACATGTTTCTGTCTAAACTGCCTCCAATTCCTCGCTTGCCAGGTATAATAAATTGTTGCTCCATACATAGCAGCTGCTGCTTCCTTCTTCAATTGCTTCCAACGTCTTCTTTTAATCCACGCCAAAATTTGTTGAATTGTGCCTCTTAGCAGTATCACACCCATCCAGTTAGCCAAATCCTTCCTCACTGTATTCCCCCAATGACATTCAGTAAACAAATGTTGGTGTGTTTCAGCACTCTCTTGCTCACACAAGCCACATGTTGCATTTTCAACTTGTATATGCATATTCTGTAGTCTATCTTTAGTGAGCAGTCTTCCTTGGTATGCAAGCCATAAGATAAATCTTTCTCTAGGCTGCATTATAGAGCTCCAAAGTAAGTCTGCCGTAGCTACTGGTCATGAAGTATGTGTCATTTGGTGTCAAAACATATTGTCCCCTTTGGTACCATTGGAGCATTTCCGTCTTCAAAACATTCAGTTTCTTCCAATACCAACTACAATCTTGGGGTGGTATGTGCTCCCAAATGTTATCTGTATCCTTCATGTATATCTCATGTACCAACTTGACCCATAATACATCTTTCTTGTTTGCCAACTGCCATAAGAGCTTCCCAACAGCAACTACATTCCATATTTTGCAGCTCTTGATATTTAATCCTCCATACTTTTTTGGTACACATACCTTATCCCATGCCACCAATGCTATTTTTTTGTGCCCTTCTGAGCTTCCCCATAGAAATTCTCTGCATATTTTATCTACTTCCTGCAACACACTCTGTGGGAGGATAAACAATGTCCCCAAAAATTATATATCGAGAACAAAACAACATTAACTATCTGTAGCCTCCCTGCATAGGACAGCTTCCCTGAATAACCTGAGGTAATTCTCTTTGTAATCTTCTCCACCAATTGGTAACAGTCCACCTTGTTCCATTTTTTTGAAGATAACGGCAATCCCAGGTACCGTATAGTACACCCATTGAGAACCCAATACTATTCAAAATTCTCAGCTTTGCTTCCTCAGTCATTCCAACAAGAAATATGTTAGATTTCTGCAAATTTGCTTCCAAGCTAGTCACAACACTAAAATGTTTCAGAGCTTCCATCACCCTCTTAATAGAATTTGTGTCGCCTTTGCAAAACACCATTAAAATCATCTGCAAATATTAAGTGTGTAAGTTTCGCTGTTTTGCACATTGGATGGTATTTGAAATTAGCCAGATCACTCATCTTCCTCATAATTCTCGTAAGATAATCCATAACTAATATAAATAACAGAGGGGAAATAGGGTCCCCTTGTCGAAGCCCCCTCTTGCCCTCAAAATATCCATATCCTTCTCCATTCACTTTAACTGTGAACCTCGTAGTGGTAACACATGTCATTACCAACTGCACAAAGGTTCGTGGAAAATTATAGCCCTTTAAATCTTCCTCTATAAAGTCCCAACTTACCATATCATATGCCTTCCGTAGATCAATCTTCATCATACATCTTGGAGTAGTTTTTCTATTATAATGCCTCAGCAAGTCATGACAGATTAATACATTATGAATTAATGATCTTCTTTCAACAAACGTTGCTTGATTACTTGCCACTACCACTTTTATGGCTTCCTTCAGTCTCTGACAGATCATTTTTGAAATGCTCTTGTACAGAACATTGCAACATGCGATGGGTCTGAATTGAATTGCCATCACTGGTGCGTCTATTTTTGGAATGAGAGAGATTACTGTGGAGTTTAACTGTGTTAGGAGCTCTCCCGTCTCCATAAATTCCAGAATTACGTGTGTCACATCTTGACCAATCACAGTCCATGCTGCTCTAAAGAATCCACTCTCATATCCATAAGGCCTCGGGCTTTTATTGATGTCAATACCAAACATAGCACTCTTCACTTCTTGTGTTGTATATGGTTTCACCAATAACAATTGTTGTTCAGTATCTAATACATCTCCATTTCTAAAAAATAAGCCACTTTCTATTTGTCATTTCTTTTCCTTTGTGCCTAGAAGGTCCTCATAATACTCCACAAAGACATCTGCAATTGCCTTCTGGTTTGTTTGCATTGATTCATTATTACCCTTCAACTGAAAACTAGTTTGTTTTAGCTTCCTGTGTTTTATAATTGAGAAGAAATATCTTGTGTTGTCATCTCCAAGTTTGATCCAAGTTGCTTTATTCCTCTGTTGTAAGTAGATCTCAGCCATGTACGAGGATCTCATAAACTTCTGGTACAATCTCTTCTCCTGCTCCTGCAAAGTCTTATCCGTTGGTTGGAGATGTAGCTCTTCTTGTGCTTTTGCAAGTTCAATTCTGTCCTCATCAGCTTCTGTGATGATATTTCTGAAATGCTGGCTATTTAGATTTCTCAGTCTTCTCTTTAAATACTTAAGTCTCTTCACAACTCTAAACATCTGGTGGCCTTCAATATTGTGGTCCCATGTCTCTTTCACAATGTTCAAAAATGAAGTATGACTAGCCCACACATTGCAATATTTAAAAGCTGGTTTCACTCTTCTTGGTCCATCAAGCAGTGAAATTACAACAGGACAATGATCACTCACTCCTTCTGGTAATAAATTTGCATTATAAGCCGACATATTCACTAACCATTCTGGATTAATAAACACCCAGTCTAACTTTGAGAACACACTAGCATCCCTTTTATCATTCCATGTATATCTGTTACATTTTCTAGGTAGTTCCAGCAATTCACAACTCTCAATACAAGCATGAAAGCCAGTTATTTCCACCATACTCACTGGATTTCCCCTTATCATATCCTCAACATTTAGGACAGAATTGAAGTCCCCCATTATTATCCATGGAAGCATGTTTCATGCGTTCATATCATCTAAATATTTCCACAACTCTTTCATTTTCTCTCTTGTATTGAAAGCATATACCATAGTTACCATGTACTTCAAATTGAGGCTTTGATTTCTTACTTTACAGGTTATCGCCTGGGCACAACTTGCGACTATTTGCACCTGAAAGTAATCTGGCCTCCAAGTTATCCATACCTTACCATTATAATGGTCGACAAGATTAGTAATGTAATCCCATCCTTCAAACAAGCTTCTAGCCACCCTGTAAATATTACTTATTTTGATCTTAGTCTCTACTAAACCCACAAATCCAGTACTTTCTTTACTACAAAGGAGTTTGATCTCCTTTTGTTTGTTAGGGTCGTTTAAGCCCCTAATATTCCAACACATCTGTTATCCATTCACGCTGGGAGTCGCATTCCCTTCCCCATTTACAGCTGTGGTCATTGAAGGTTGTTCTCTGGCTTCTTCTGTGTGTAGAACCTGAAATGTGTTCTTATGAGCCACCTCTCCCTGATGAACTTGCTTCCTCTGTCTATTTGGACTCAGTGACTTATTCACTGGAGTGGTCTACCCTGCTTTCCTTCTTCCTTGCATGGTAGTAGTTGTTCCGTTTTTCCCCACTCCATCAATGACCCTCTGGTTTATCATTCCAGTTTGTCTTCCTCTGTATTGATTGTCTTCCCCTGTTTCCTTTTGTTTCCCTTTGTCTCTCACTATGTTTGGTTGTTGCTTTTCCCCTCTCCTTTGATCAGGAGTTGGGTTTTTCTTCCTGCAAATCCCTTCATCATGTCCATACTTTTTACAAAAATTATACAGTGTGGGTTTCCAATCATACTGCACTTTTTGTTCAATCAACTCTCCTCTCTCATTTTTGAAGAAAACTTTATCCGGTAATTTCACTTTCATTTCCACTTCTATCAACAACCTGGCAAAACTCAGTCCCGATTTCCTCTCTGTATTTTGGTCCACCAATAATGGCTTCCCAATTAAACTTCCAATTTTACTCAGTCCTTTGGGACTACAGTATTTGAAATCTAATCCTGGTAATTTCACCCATATAGGAACAGTATACAACTCTTCTCAAGTAACCTCCATGTCTGGACTCCAAGCTTTAACTATCAAGGGTTTATTGTCAAAATGGTATATCCCACCTTGCAACACCTCCTCCTTCCCCATTCCAGAATCAAATCGTACCAGCACTATACCAATTTTCAACATCGAGACTTTGTTTATACCATACTTCCCCCACAATCGTTGTATGTAACCATTCATCACAGAGAAAGGGGGATGTGCCCCCAAAACGTAGCAGACTACAACATGTTACCAGTATGCAATCTCAGTGCTTATATCCTTAATGTCTATCTCACAGATTGAGGATTCACCTTGTTTCTCCGGAGTAACGAATTCAAGTTTAAATCCCGCCTTCGCTATCTTTGTTAGGTCAAAATTATCCCAGACTGACCCCTTTCGATTTAGTTTAGGGGATTCCTCCGCTTCATCAGCCCATGATTGCGATTTTGGTGTGTTCTGAATTGCTTCTTCCCATTCTTGCGTTGTGTTGACACCCAATTTTGGACCTTCACAATATATATTAATTCACGAGCTTCTTAACTCCCAAACAATTTAGAATACTTAATTTTATAAAATTCAAATACTTTTCAAAGTCATTTTAAGTGATCTTAGTCGATTCTCATAATTTATAAATAAGTGGATATATTTCATATGGTTTATAGATATAATCGGTATGTTTCGTGAATATTTGAAAAAACATCTCAAAAAGATTTTATTTTAAATATTATATCAAAATTAGTTTAGTTTAGATTGTGGTTAATTTTAAAAATCAATTGGTTTATAATTGAATTAATTATTTTATTTTGTTAAGATGAGAAGCTCATAAATTAATCACATTAATTCATCTTATTTTGATCTTTAGTCGAATTCACATTAGTCCAATTCGGCTATGGTCGAGACTCCGATTTGGCCATGATTTTAATTCATACGGTCTTTTCTCAAATTGCAAATTTATTCACTTGATAATCTTACCTTTAATTTTCTCTTAAACCAATTTTGGGCCGATTTGAATAATTTCAGCAACCCACATTCAAACCCAACTCCCTTTATTTCTCCAACCCATTCCCTCTTGTTTTCCCTCCAGCAGCCCACCAAAATGACCCCGACTCGGCCCGTTTCCTGCTAAAAAAGATCCCAGCAACGTTAATGATTCCAGAAATTGTACAGCAACAATAACATCTTCACGCTAGCAGAAGACAGAGCCATTAATGCTCAACGACAGCAGCTCCCAGCGATGGATCAAGCAGCAGCAACTCAGTACTGTCCAGCAGTACGGTTCCAGCAACCAAGCACGCGCTTCCGTTCTTGGGGGCTTCGAGATGGAGACACGTTGCGCCACAAGGACGATGAATTAATCCTAGGCGTTCGTCTCGCCCTTTCCTCTTCCGGAAGGGGTTGAATTTGCAGGTAAAGTGTGTCGTCCCCATTTGGTGAAAGAATTTTGGATTTCGAATTTTGAACGGTAAGCATTTCACCCGAATTCCCCCCAATTTCTACCCTAGTTCCCATTCTATAAAGGCTGCCATTATGTTCTTGAAGGGGGGGATTTTTTTTCGGAAGGGAAAAATCTTGAAAGGAGATATTTTTTAGTTGGAAATTTAGTGCTAGAGAAGATAGTTGGAGAAAATATTGAGAGGGACTAGCTGAAATCTGAGGGGAAATACAGTGAACCACTAGCTTAAACTTCACATACAAATGTCAGGAAATAAATTCCAGAAGCAGAGAGAGTGAGAGTTCCGGCGTTGATCGAGTCTTTGCTCGTTTCTCTATTCACGTGAGTTCATCGGAGTCGTCGTTTGTGGTGGTAGGAGTTCTGCTCGTGTCGTCCCCGTCGCTGCTCCAAAGAAGGTAAAAATCCTTTCTAGTCTTTATTCATTTCAATTCCTAGTCTGATTGCTCTACTTAAAGGTTGTTTCTTTTAGGAGCTTTTCTTTCTGTTTTTGGTGTAGCTCCTTTATAATGCTATCTTCAATCTAGTGTATTGTTCTGTTATGTTATTCTTGCTGTCACGAGAAGCATGCTTCGTTTCTACATCCGGTTTATTGAATATGCCACCAATTTGCGATTGGCTTGTGTTTTTCTATTGAAATTGTGAACTCGGGTTCATATGTTTGGCGTCTTGCTGCCTCAATTATGAATATTGTTGTTATTTATTTATTTTTCCTTCTGCTCTACACCAGCATAAATATATAGTTACGTCGACTTCGTTTTAGTTTATTTTATTTTTCTTTAGTTTTATATAGTCTTGAATTTGACTCAATATTAAAAATAACCAAAGAGTTTTGTATACGTGTGAATTGGTAATATAAGTTGATAGTTTTTGTTGCATTATATATTAGTGTATGTAAGAGGTGTCTTCTTGCCTGCCAAAACAGAAATAAGCATATAGATAAGTTAAACTCTTGATTATCAATGTGTTTAGTCATTATTTTCATTTCATAAGAAGCCATCTATAGCTCTATTCAGTTTCCTTTTTAAATAAAATAAATTGTGTTAGCATGTTAGCACATTTGACCGAACCAGTGGCATTATTTGATGGATTTTTTTAGACGAAATGATCTTGTTCTTTGAAATATCCTTGGCAAATTCCTTGCTTCGTGTGTGTTTATTTAATTTTCCAGATTTACATTGAGGTGTCGCTTACTGTGGTCCATTTTGGGTATAAAGTTTGTCTATTTTGTCTCAAAAGTGTGGATTTAGAGTGTTTGGATTGGACAATTTGTTTCAGCTAGTTATTTGTTGTAATTTGATCGTATTGTTGAAGCACACTATTTCTTCCCCCCATTTCTCTACTTGAAGCTGTAAAAATGTTGAAGTCCCTTCGTTTATCTATGTCATTTACGTATTGCTTTAATCATACTATTTTGCAGATTTGAGCATGTGTAAAATTTTGACTTCATTCTAGGATCGCATGGGCCTTCTCTTACTTTGTTTAATCGTATGATATAATGATACGTATTTTTCTATTTTTTTTGGAGTCATTGTTGGTTTAAAGAGAGGGGAAAATATTAGTTTATTTATGCTTGTCATTTAGTCAAACTTTGTTTAATCGTATGATATTATGATACGTATTTTTCTATTTTGTTTGGAGTCATTGTTGGTTTAAAGAGAGGGGAAAATATTAGTTTATTTATGCTTGTCATTTAGTCAAATTAATATTTGTTTACTCTTTTCTTTCTTGACATCAAAGACTTGGCCATATTGATTCTCATAAAAAAAAAAAAGCATGTCTTGACCCACTTGCCCTCTGTTACTCATCCCTGCTAGAATATGTTTGCTTGTTAATGCTTATCATTGCCTCACTATTTTGCATGACTGATTGTCCAAAGCGTGTGATCACCAGTGGATTATAGTCTAGTCACTGTAGTTTGGAAACTCTAGATAAGATACTGATTTAATTATTACTGGAATTTTAAGATTGCTCAATTTAAGCCATAGCTTGTAGTAGTTTAAAGACGTCGAAGTGTCATTCGTGTCTGGATTTAAGGCACTTGGTGACACATTATCTTTTATCGTATAAATATTAAAATATGGTAGTAGATAAATATTAAAATATGGTAGTAGATAACTATTAGAATATGGTAGTGGATAAATATTAGAATATGATAGTAGATAAATTTTAGAATATGGTAGCATATAAATTTTGTTTTATTTGATTCTTACTTACTAATTTCTATTCTGTGTTTGCATGTGAAATCCGCCTGAGTTCACCGTGAACTCCCCTTTTTTTGCATTTCGGGAGAGCCTTAAAGGCTCAAACTTCCTTCCGAGTCAGCCATCTAAAAATCAACGAACAAGTCTCGGAGTTAAAAAAATACGAAGCATTTCGAGAGTTAAGGGGATTGGGCCAAAGGCCCACTCTTATTTCCAAAGAGATGTATTTTGTTATTTTGGGCCTAAGCCCTTGTCATTTTATTTATTAATATTCTTGTTAGAATTTAGGACAGGTGAGAAAATTGGGCCTGAGGCCCAAAGGAAATAATATATTTTCTTTGTTAGTCTAGGCCAGGTGCAAAGAATGAGCAAGAATTGAGCCGAAGGCCCAAAAATAAAAATAGGCCTAAGTAGTGGCCCAGGCGGACAGATCCAGACTTGGGCCCAAATTCTCTTTTCCCATCTATTTAACTGCTATTACGTGCTTATTTGTTAAAAAATAATATTAAGGTTCCGAAACTTCAAATCCCCGAAAGATACCCATTTTGAATTAATTACTTTACTAAATTACTCATCTTTCACTTGACTTAAATAAATAATAAATAAATAAGTTTATGAATGCTTCACTTAGATAATATTTCATTATTTTTCTATTAAAATAGGTCTCAACTATAAAGTAGTTCACTTTTGCAATTTAAGATAAGTTAAAATATTTTAGCCAAATAATTAATTGTCGGATAATCGCATATTAGCGGGCATTTCGGGTGCTTTCAAACCCTTTCCGAAATGCTAATAAGAACCCCCGAACCCCCCCCCCCCCACCCTAAGTATTTTCAATTGATTCTCTGTTTTAATCTATTGAAAATCAGTTTTCTTGATTTTTCTTAAAAATTAAGTGGCGACTCTTAAAATCAGTCAAAAATATACTTTAAATAAAACAGTAGCATTAGATCCCGTAGGTCTGCTCGCACTGGTTGATTTCATCGACACTGTTGCCGCCACACCTGAGTTCTCTACTATTTCCTCTATTTCAGTTGTTTTCTCTACCAGATCTGCTGCCGAAACTTCTTTCCCCTGTCCACCCTGTTGTTTCAGTTGCTTCAAAGTCTGTAGGTCACTTTGTTGTGCCATGTGAGCCTTCTCCGAGGGAATCTTTGCTCTCTTCCCCATGGACGACGCACGTGACTTATGCGCCGAGAGAAACCAGAAAACACCTCTATCTTGCTTAATGAATGATGATTTACAACTTAACAATGAATATTTTCACAATTGATACCAATAGTTGAATTTCTAAATTAAGAGCATGTTTGACGTTGCACCTAAAATTAAAACTACTTATTTTTAAAAGTGCTTTTATAAAATAGCTTTTCAGAAAAGTGATTTTCAAAAAAAATAATTTGTGTTTGGCAAATTCATTTGAAAAGTGCTTTTGATAAGCAATGTGTGTTTGACTAAAATATTTTATTTTTAAAAAAAAAAAACTTTTGACATTGCTGCTAAAAACTGCTTATTTTTCAGAAGCGCTTTTATAAAATAGCTTTTCAGAAAAGTGATTTTCAAAAAAAGCAATTTGTGTTTGGCAAATTCATTTGAAAAGTGTTATTGATATGCAATGTGTATTTGACTAATTTTTTTTAAAAAAAAAACTTTTGAGAGTCAAATTACGAAAAATGACAAGTATCAATGTGCTTTTAATATTAAGATTATTTTTATAGAGAGAAACTATTTTAAACATCTAATACAAAAACTTTAATTACATTTTTAATTTAATTATTTAAAATGTACATATTCAGATTTTCAATCAATATTGTACATAGATTAATATTGTTGAAAATTATTAAAAAGAAGAATCTATTTGTTATTTGTTTCCTATTTTTTTGGATTCAATCTTAGCTAATCTTTCTTTTTTTGTTATAATTCTCTAAAGTTTTTAAAAAATAAAAATAAATAAATAAATCGTAAATTAAGAAAAAAAAATCTTATTTCTTACCTTTTTGGAAGGGTCTAAATCTTTAAATGTTACTTTTTCTTTAATCCTACAAAAATATTGTTGTTACTTTTATTTCTAATTCTGTAATATAATACGTAAAGTAATATATACAATATAATATATAAATAACAATATAAAACATAAATAAAATCAAAATTTTATTATATAAAAATAAAAAGATAAAATTCTTGAATGAAAATACATATGTATATTTGTTACATATATACAATTATCTAACAGATATACATATATAATTCGCCTCTCCCCACTCTTTACCCTCTCTCGCTCGCCTCTTTCCTCTCTCTCTCCCAATCTCGTGCGCCTCTCTCCTCCCTCTCCCAATCTCGCTTGTCAGATATAGAATACCTATGTATATCAGTTATATATATACAATTATTTGAAAGATATACATATACAATTCGACATACATACATATACAATTAACCTCTCTCGCTCGTCTCTCTCCTCCCTCTCCCAATCTCGCTCGCCTCTCTCCTCTCTCTAACATGTAGATACGAATCATAATTAGCAAATTATAGCTATGGAGCATAATTAAGTTATTTTTTAGTGGCTATATATATATATAGAGAGAGTGTGTGTGTTGAAGACCATAAAAATAAGTTTTTTTTTTCATAAATAACTTTGCATTTTTTTTAAAAAAACTTTGGTATTAGGCTACTAATTAGCTAGATCCGGCACTGTCAATGCACTCAGCCACCTAATAATCTTTCGAAAAAAAAAGATATGTGTAATCGCTAAAAACAACAATATCATAATGTTAGAAAAGGAAATCTAATCAACTTATTATTCTTCTTATTATTATCATTATTAAGAACAATGAATATATGTATATTAATTACATATATACAATTATTTTGACAGATATACATATTAAATTCACCTCTCTTCACTCTTTGCCCTCTCTCGCTCGCCTCTCTCCTCTCTCTAACATGTAACTAAGAATCGTAATATAATTAGCAAGCTATAGCTATAGAACGTAATTAGCAAATTATAGCTATGAATCTCTTAAATATACTTCCTAATATAAATCATAAGTAAAACTTAAAACACAATACTTATAAGTATACCAATTATAGATGTCCAAACATAAAAGAGACAAAAATGATTAACTCCAACTTAATTTCGAATCTAAACATTTTACACCCACATATATATAATTCGATTTTTTCGGTTTTTATTTTTTAAAATCCGAAACCAAACCAAACAAGGTAAATTATTAATTCAAAATCAAATTAAAAAACTAATCCAAATAAAAATTTGATTTTATTTTTTGATTTAATCCGAATAGTACATACCCCTACGTTAAATTCTTAAACGTATGTATATTCTTGAGTTGAATTTTTAACTTAATATTCTTGAATTGAATTTTTAAAACGTATGTACTTGAATTAAATTCTTAATGATTTGCAATGTCTACCTTAATTTAGGTGCTTAATTGCATTCCAACTCACATATTTATGCACGTATAAAACATGCACATATAAAACAAGGAAGTGATTAATCAATATCCATAAAACAAGAATATCATTAATTAACGAAGCATGAGCAAAGTTGATATATTTTTTTAAATTGTTAATGGGACAGTATCATATAACTTTTTTTATTTTCAAATCAGAAATTACGTATATAAAACTCTAAATTTAAACACAAAATAATTAATAAAAATCAACAATTGCTTAAAACTCAAAACCCTAGACCAAAAAAATAAAAATAAATTAAAACCACTAAATTAAATCAAACCTAAAAAATCTAATCAAGAGATTCATCAATTTCTTCTCCTTCATGAGCCCACTTATGTTCTTCACGAACCCTTTCTTCTTCTTCTGGCGTATAATCATTAATAACACCAAATATCTCCCTAATAGCCTTCACAGACTTGTTCTTAATTCTATCAGCTATCGTCTGACACAACAAATTGATCAAATCGCTAATGTGAAGATAATTTGCCGCAACTACAAGTTCAAACATGTTTTGATAGTTCTTATCCTTCAAAAATTCCTTATCAAATTCCTTAATTTCTTCTTCGTTTGAATCCGTCTTCTCCGCATGCTTATTCATGTACTCAATAATTAGAATTAGTTTTTGAGTATTCACATTAGGCAATGGGATGAGGGTATAATCGTCATCAACCATATTTTTTATCGTTCCAGACTGAACCGCAATCGATTCTTCAATCTCAAATTCATCACCATCAGATGATTTCAAGATCAACTTTTTTGAAGCCATTGATATTTTGGAGAATAAATATAAATTAAATTGTGTAGAAGAGAATAATAGAATGTGTTAAGAAAAGTAGTGTATTTATAGGGGCAATTTTATTTTTTTTGGTTTACCACTTTCCTTTTTTTAATTGGTTTATAAAAAAGGAATCCTTATAGAATTGGTATTAGTTAAACTTAGGCGGTAGAGTAAAATTTTACGGGTAGTTATTCAATTTGGTTTAGGAAAAACTACCTAATTATATATTTATCATATTTATTAATTTTCCTTATAGGTTGAAATAATTACATATCATCTCATTAATTAATAATTTTATACCAAATTTCAAGTCAGATACATTTAGGAACATATATTTTTGCAACCGGACACAGTAAAATAGGGAGAAAGACGAGTGAGATAGGAGGGACACAACATCAGAATTGACTTTTAGAGGCAATTAACACTCGTTGGAAATGTCTCTAAAGCTTATAGTGACATTGGATTAAATGACAATTAACTAATGTTAATGTTTTAGTACTCTTTGTTAATGAGTTTATATATTGCCACTAAAAGTTGTTTTTGTTATAGTGGGAGGCGAACGAGATCTCTAGATACATGTGAATCATCTCCTAATATATGAAATCACACTAAATAGAAATACGAGATACGGGGAGAGAGGTGGGTATGAGAGGAGAGTGACGAGTGAGATAGGAGAGAGGAGGGTGAGACAATCATATGCATGCGCATTTACATGAATACAATGTATTTTGACTCCATGTATCTGAAATGGACGTATCTGAACGCGCCAGACCAATACATGGTTACAATCCGATTGGACGCACTCAAATCGGAGAAGATCACCAAAATTAGTGTAATTTTTTTTTTGGTACTTTTTGTACCACATCGATGACAGACACTAAGAAATTAGCATATTTATGTAAATTATTATATTTCCACTTGTTTACCCATTACTACTAATAGAAAAACTAATTTAAGTCTCTCATTTTATTATTCTTAGATAACAAGATTAATATGTCCAGAATGATTTTACAAGGACTTTATTTTTATTTTTATTTTTATGAGATAGAGATCATGTTTTTAATAGACCCTTACCTAGAAAAGACACTTACAATGTCTAAGTAAGTGTCTAACAAGTGATAAAAATATCTTTAATACCAAAAATCAAATAATTTTTTATCAACATAAATTTATATTTTTGTGTCATAACATACCATATGTGACATTGTATAACGCACAAGAAGTTATGAAATAATTCGATTCCTATAAAACTTATGCCACAAGAGGCAAACGCTTAATTTTAAAATTCACAAATTATATCGTAAGAGGCATAACATAATCATTACAAAACTTATAAAGTGCTCTAAACTTATGTCAAGTGAATTAAGTTGTATAGAAATACCACACAACTCATGTTGCATATAAATTTACAGAACTTATGCCAATCAAGACTAAAGTTCTCTAAACTTATACCGAGCAAATTGGGGTCAAAGATAAACAATATTTTATTTTACAATTTTTATTAAATAAACAGTAAATACAATAATTAAAAATCATGATATTTAAGGAAAAATATTAAAGACCACTCCAAAATTTGGTCAACCCATGGAAAAACTTCAATATTTTCTTGCACAATTAAAGTTTGATATCTAGTAAAACAATGTGACATTGACTGGATTATAACAATTTGATTAATTTTTCACTATATAAATAAGTACATATTAGAACCATGGCTAATTAAATAATTCATAACATTCAAAAGCACAATTAATCAAAGTAAAAAATATGGCAAAAGTTTCAGTCTACTGCTGTTTTCTTCTTATCATCACATATTTCTCTGGTTTGTTCATCAAAACTCCCCTATTTATTTTATTATTTATGTGATGTTAGAATATCTTATTTGATAAATTTTATTGGTAATACTACTTGTGTAATACAATCACAATTTAGTATAGATTTATTGTCTTCATAGATAGAATGCATGTGTCCCCGCTATTTATTCACGCCCAAAACTAAAGGTCATAAATTTCAGACGACGTTAAATGATATATTTATGTATTTTGACTTTTTTTTTGTTTTTGTAGTTTTCAACCCTACAATTGCTAAGGAATGTGATGCTGCAATTTCTAACATACAATGCAAGGACACCTATGATTGTGTGCCTATTTGCAATGAGAAATTTCCTAATGCTTTGTTTCCCAAGTCTTGTATGGGGGGTGGTTCTGTTTGTATTTGTGCCTATAATTGTTAAAAGGCTTATTTGAAGTGGATGAATTTATCAAAATGTTACAAGACTTATCATTTATTTGATTTAATAAATTATAAGGTTAATGTTTTATGATCACAATGAGTTCATTATTATTTAATTTACAACAAGTTATCATACTATTGTTATCTTCTTATTAATTAATGGATGTGGTGTATTGGGTGCGAATTTTTGGGAATTCAGTAATTTTTTAGTAGATTTTGTATTTATATTAAGAAATCATAAAATATATTTTCCATTAACAATTAAAGAAACTCTATTTACTAAATTTAATGGAAATTAAAGAAAAAACAAAAAAAAATCTTTTAATTTATTTATTGTTAATGTAAATAATTATATTTGCTCTTACTTACCCTTTAGTACTATACTACTTTGCTTAATTAATTTAAGCCTCTCAATTTTATTGTTATTAGACAACAATATTAAAATATTCAAAATGATTCAACATGATGAGTTTATAAAGGACAAGATATATGTATATTTTATTTTTATCTTTATGGGTAAGAGATTATGTTCTCAATAGGTCCTAGAAAAAAAAAGACACTTTGACACGAATTTATATTTTTGTGTCATAACATATGTATTAAATGTTATATTTGTGTATATATAAAGCACAACAAATTATGCAATAATTTAATTCTTGTAGAACTAAGAAGTTTTATCATTATAAGAGACATAACTTAACTATAGAACTTATAAAGTTCTCTAAAATTATAATGAGCAATGTTAAAACTACCTAAACTTGTGCTGAGCAAATTAGAGTCATAGATAAAAATATTTTAGTTCACAAATATTTATAAAATAAGCAATAGATACAAAAATTAAAGAATATGATATTTAAGGAAAAATATTAAACACCACCCAATATTGGGTCAATCCGTGGAAAAACTTCTATATTTTCTTGCACAATTAAAGAAAAACTTCAAAAAATTTTTTGGCACAATTAGAAAAACTTCAATATTCTCTTTTACAATTAAAGAAAAACTTCAATATTTATTGCACAATTAAAGAAAAACTTCAATATTTTTGCACAATTAAAGAAAAACTTCAATATTGTCTTAAACAGTTAAAGTTTGATATCTAGTAAAACAATGTGACATTGACTGGATTATAACAATTTGACTAATTTTTCACTATATAAATAGTTTATATTAGAACCATGGCCAAATAATTCATAACATTCTCTCAAAAGCAAAAACACAATTAATCAAAGCATAAAATATGGCAAAAGTTTCAGTCTACTACTCTCTTCTTCTTATCATCATGTTTTTGTTAGGTTTGTTCATTAACTCTCTCATTTTTTTTTAAAAATAAATATTTTATTATTTACATTTTAGCTATTTTAAGTCGAATATTTCAAAATTAGATTTCTTGTTGTTATTGTATTCTTTAATTGATTTTAATAAATATTTTGTTTTGTTATAGTCCTTGATGCGACGATTGCTCAAGACCATCAAGTTAAAGATTTGCAATGTGCTGCTCCAATTTACAACATAAAATGCAAGGTGGATGAAGATTGTACGCCTAGTTGCAAGGATAAATATAAAGATAGATTAATTAGTGCAGGTTGTATACTAAGTCCAGATAAACCTGATCGTATTTGTCTTTGTGGCTACTATTGTTGAAGTCTTTTGAGAAATTAAGAATCAAAATGTTCATTCAATTAAAGGAAAGGTATATGAAAGAACCATAAATGTAATAAAAGTTTCTTTCATCAAAATGTTAAGACTTGTCATTTGTTTGAGGGTCAAAATGAAGTACATTACTAATTTGCAAATGGTCTTGGTATTATCAAAATATATTGAGTTATTAATAATTGGCCAGTCATTGTCTCATCTTAGAAATTAGGAGATATTATCTAATCACACAAATATTTTTATCATATTTAATAATTCTCCCTATAGTTTGAAATAATTACATTTTATCTCACTAATTAATAATTTTATAACAGCTTTCAATAGTCAAATACATCTATATATATATATATATATATATATATATATTATGCTACTAGATATATTAAAATAGGGAAATAGGTGAGCGAGGTTTGCATTAGATACATATCCAAAAAAGTAAAATGTTGATACAATATAACCACTGCAAATGAGAGAAAATAAATATACTTAATCATAATGGTGTAATAGCATAATTTAATTTGAGGGTGTACACTTCTTCTTTGAACAAACTATTTGTCTATTTTTAATATTACTTTGTTAATGATATGTTAATATATTTAATAATGTCAAATAGATGTGATTTTAGGATGGAGGGAAGGGGAGTGGGGACTCCCCTATTATTGTTATCATTTTTTTATTTTCATACTTTGGATACAAATATGGTTAAAGACTGCCTTTATTTTTAAGTTAAATAAAATATTGGATTAAAAATATGCCAATTCTAAATGAGAGATGTATGTTCATGTCACTAGTTCTTTCAAGTTATACAGAAAGAGTTAAAAAACGGATCATAAAAAATATGAATTAATTCGGGCTATATATCAATTTAATTTTTAATTAATATGATATGACAAGTTAACTAAGAAATCAATAAGGAGACAGAGACTTTCATTTTTCTATGACATAAAGTTATAAATGAAAAAATAGAGCTTCTTTATGTATTTCTCTCTTCTTCTTTTTTTATCTTGTGAATATCCTTTTATATAAGCACGTTATATATATGATTTTAGGGTATTTTGATCTCCAAGTAATTCTAGAAATCTTGGATTTGAAAAAAATGGGTTGGA